TATGATTTAGGGGTATGTTTAGGATAGAGGAATAGGGAAGATTATTGGGGAAATAAGTGGGAATAGGTAGGGTGGTATGGAATTTTAGTAGGAATGTAGGAAGATTTTTAGAGGGTTAAGGAAAAGTAGGGAAAGGGATTGGTGTGGTTAGGATGTGTTATTTAGTGTTATTAGTATGGGTGTTTAAATTATATAAATGTTTGGGGTTGGGATAGAGAAGATAAGTGGGGTAGTTTTGGGAGGGTTTGGTAAGAGGTATTGTATATGGTTATTTTGTGTAATTAATAATGGGGGGAGATATTTGGATGTGGTAAGAAGAGTTAGGGTTAAATAATGAATTTATTTATTAAGGTAGGATGATAAGAAATTAATTATAATATGGGAGTTTGGGGGTGGAAAGATAAGAGTGTGTGTTTTTTTTATTTGGATTAGGAAATTTTGTGAGTTAAGTAAGGTTAAAAGGAGAGGTAGGGGGGTATGGGTGTATTTATGGGAGAAGAGGTTGGGGGTAGGAGGTGTATGAAGGTTTGGTATGGGGTGGGTTTGAAATAGTATTGTGGTTGAGGTGGTGGTATTAGATGGGGGGTATGAGGAGATTGAAGGTGATATGTGTGGGAAAATGGTTGGTTTATATATGTTTTTGATAGTTTAGATATTTGTTTTGGGAATAGTTTTAAGATGGAATTGGAGGGTAGATGGGGATTTGATGGAAGATAATAAGTGGGTTGGTTTTTATATATTAGAAAAGAGGGGATGGGGGGAAAGAGAAGGATAGAGGTATAGGGTAGTTGAAAGAGTTATATGTGGGGAATAGGATGTGGGAATTAGAAGTATTTTATTTAGATGAAAAATGATTGGAGATTATATATTGGGTAAGAAAGGGGGGGGGGGGGGGGGGGATTTTTAGTAGGAATATGTTGTATTTGTAGTTTAGAGTATTTATATTTAAAAGAAAGGAAAAGGGGGAGGAAAGAAGAAAAGGGGTAGATGGAAGTAGAATATTAAATTGTTAGATTTGGTTATGAAAAGATGAGAGGGAATAATAAAAAAAATAAGAGAATAAAATGAGAGATTGGGGGGGGGATAAGATGGGATGTTTAATGTATTGGATATAAGGGAAATTGGTATTTGTGGGGGGAATGATTTGGGATAGGGTTTGTTTGAAATATATTTTTATTATTTTATTGGGAATAATTAGAAAAAAGAAATGGATATTAAGGGAGTGTGGGGATGGGAGAAAGGAGAGGTGGGAAGAAGTTAGAAAGGAAAAAGTAATATTTTTTTGTGGAATTGTGGAGGATGAGAGGAAGGTAGATAATAAAGAAAATGAGAGGGGGGGGTGTTGTATTTGAAATTTTGGTTATTGGGGGGTTTAAAGGGTTAGATTAGATGGTTTTTAGTGTGTTTGTTTTTAGTAGTAGGATAGATGAGAAAAGGTATAAAATGAAGGGGAGTGAAGATGAGAAGAGAGAGAGTTTGTTTGGTGTTTGAAAGGGTTGTAGAGGTGGGGGGTATAAGAGTTGGGGTTGGGATTAGATTGTTTATGGTTGTATGTGATGGGGGTAGGTATGAACATGAGTGTGGGTGGAAAATTAATGGGGGGGTGGGGAAATGGGGGTACAGGAATTGAAGTTGTGGGGGAGGGGAAACATATTATAATGTTGGATATTGTAGGGGGTCGAGATTTAGAATATGGTGGTTGGATGATGTTTTAGGAGTAGTAGTATGGAATGGGGGACATATTTAGGTTGTAGGTTAAATATTTTTAGGGAGGTATAATGGGAATTGGTATAGGAATGGTTGGGTTATAGATGGTGATGGTTTTTGTTTTCTTTTTATTAGAGTTGGGTATGTTGAGTATGATGTGAAAGAATGTTTGTAGATTGGGGGGAGGAAGGGGGTTTTGGGATTGTTTGAATGATGTTTTGTAGGGGGTTGGAGAGGTTTATAAGTGGGTGAATGATTAAATTTGAGATTTAATTTAGTTTATGGGGTGTGGAAGATATAGTTTTATTGTGGGTATTTTAGTATTGTATTGGGTGTAATGGGTTATGGAATATGATTTGGGGATTGTTAAGAGGAAATTTTGTTGGAAGTTAGGGGGTAAGGGGATATTTTTAAAAGTGTGGGGAGTTTAGGATTTTGGTTGTGGGGTAAGTTGTGTTTGTTGGAGTATTGTGGATGTGAAAAGGTGTGATAGAGGAGTGGGTTGATATGTAAAAAAGTGATATAAATTGTTTGATTTTGTTGGGGAGAATTGATAATATAAAGAAGAGGTTTGGAAAAAGAGATTGAAATAAAAAGATAGTAAGAATAAAGGAGGGGAATGTGGGGATAGGAAGTTGTTATTAATAAGTGAAGTTAAGGGTTGGGTATGGTGGGTTATGTTGGAGTAATGGAGAGTAGGAAAGGTATAGGAGTGGGGTAATATTTAAATAAGTGGGTTATGGTAGAAATGATAATATTGTTTAAAAAGGAAGTGATTAAAGATATATGTTTTGTAGATTAATTAATTTGAATTAGGGGTAGAAGGAGAAGAAATTGTATAAAAATTGGTTATAAGTAATTTTGATAGAAATGGAAATGTAAAGAGGATTTGAGAAGTAGTAAAGAATCGCAATTATAAAAGTAATAAGATAATTATTAAAGAGAAATTGTGATAAGGTTAGTGATTTATTTAAGTTGAGATGTGTAGGTTGTTAAATGGTGAATTGATGAAGAGGATAATTATAGTTGGGGTGAATAATAAGGAAGTATAATGAATTAATTATTGTTGTAAGTATTTTTTGTAGTTACATTGTTAAATGGATTTAGAAATATAAGGTTAAAAAGGTGGAGGTAGAGATATGATTTACACTTTATAAATAATAGAGGGGGTGTAAGACATGAGAGGGTTTAAATGAAGGTAAGAAGTTAGTAAATGTGGGGAATTAGGGGTTTGTATGAGAGAAGAGGGAGGAAAAGTATATTAATTTATAGGTGAAAAATGAGTTTGTTTGGTATTGGGGGTGGTTAAATTTAATGGAGGTATGATATGGATGAAGAAGGAAGAAGAGTTGGGAAGTGGGTTTGAAAGTGAAGTGATAGAAGTAAGTTAATTGTTGTAAGTTGTTTTTTAATGGGGAATATGAGAGTAATAAAGGAAAATAGAATTTGGTATGTATTGTAGATGGTGTTAATATATTTGAAAAAAAGAGTATGTAAATTAAAATTTATGAAGGTTTTATTATATAGGTAGAGAAGAAGGTATAGGGGGGGGGGGGGATTTGGGAGGAAATATTTAAAAGGTTGGTAATAGATGTGGAAATATAAGGATGGAAGAGTTAAAGGGGGAGAAGAGAAAAAAATTTTTTTAGGGGATAATTTTGGGGTTTTAAAGGTTAAATGATTGAATATGTAAATTGTGAGAAAGTTATAGAATATGGTAATATTAAAGAAAGGGGGATTTGTGGAAGGTTTTAAATTATGGAAAGAATTTTGGAATGAAATTTTATGATTGGATAATTTAGTTTAAGAATGAGGATAAGATAAGGTAAAAATGAAAAAAGTTGAAGAATAATAAGGAATTTTAAATGATATGGAAAAGAGATTAAAAGTAAAATTAAGAGAAGGGTGTGAGAGGTGTAGGTAAGATAGGATAGAAGATAAAAGGATGTGGGGGGGTTGTATTTTGTTGGATGTTTTGGATATATTGTAGGAAGAAATGTGAGAAGAAAGTGTGTTGTTTGAATGATATAGTGTAGATGTGGTAAAGGAGGGGGAGAATATATGTTGTGGTGGTAGAGATGAGGGGGGTGAAGAATGAATAAAGTGGGAATAAAAATAAATTTAATTTGTAAATTATGGTTTTAGGATGAGATAGAGTTAAAGATTAAAGAATTGGTTATTGGTGTTTTGTAGTTTATATAAAATTTGATTGATAAGATGAATTTTATTGGGAATTGGGTTAGGGGGTAGTAGGATTGTTTTTGGTGGAGTGGAAGTTTGGAAGTTTTTTGTTTTGGTTTTGGGAATGTTTTAAATGATGGGTTATGGGGGATTTGGATTTATTTGGGAAAGTGTTATTGTTAGGTTATTTAAGTAGTTAATGTATTTTTTTGTTTTTATTTTTTGTATTGGGTTTATTTTTTTTATTTGGAATAAAAATTTTGGGGGAATTTTTTTATTGGTGATGTTGTTTTTTATTGGTTGGGTGGTTTGTATATGGTTTTATAATGGAGTTTTGTGAGTGGGGTTTTTTTATGTTTTTTTGGTTTTTAAGGGTATGTATATGTGTTGTGTGTTGGTTGTGTGTGTATATTTATGAGTATGTTATTGGTTTATGAATTGGGATGTTATTGGTTGTTGATGAATTTGGGGTAGGAGGGAAAAAGGGGATGAGAATTGGTTGGATTTGGTGTGAATGTTTTGTTGATATTGTTTGGGGAGTTTTGTTAGTTGTGATGTGTTTTTGATATTTTGGGGTATGTTGAATAAAGGTGTATTGTTTGTTGGGGGGTGGGGGGGGAGAGGTTGATTATTATTAGGATTATTTGTTTTTTGGTTAGGGGTGATAGTGATAGTGAGGTATTAGGGGAATGGGTGAGTAGTAATTTAGATTGGGTGGGATGGGGATGTGGTTGTGATATGAATTGGTGTGGGGGTTAGAAGAGTTTTGTTTTTATTGATTGTATTTTTGGTAATGATTAATGGTGGTAAGTTTTGGAAGGAGTATTAAAAAGAAAATAAGGTTTGTAGGTGTATGGGGGTTGTTTTATATATATAGAGAAGAAGTTGGGGTAGTAGTGATTTAAGATGGTGAGTAGTTAGGAATATGGAATTAGGTATAGTGGTAGAGGAGTTGTGTTTGTTTGGATTGGTATAAGTAAGTTGTAATATGTATGATAGGGTGGGGGGGGATGGGGTTTTTGGGGATTGTGAATTGGTTTATAGGGGGGTGGAGGGTTTAGGAGTGTATTGGTGGTGGTTTGTTTTTTGGTATTGTTAGTTGGAGGGGATGGATGGGTTTGGGGGGGGGGTTTTTGTTGGGGTATATTGGTGTTTGTTTTTTTTTAATAGTGTAAGTTAGAAATTGAATAATAATTGGGTGGTGGGGGGGGGGAGATATTTTTTATATATTTTGGGATGTAAGTAGGGGGGGTTTATTTTTGATATTTTTAGTAGGGTGTTTTTTGGGGTGGGAGAGGTAGGAGATGGGTTGGAAAGGTGGGAGGTTGTTTGGGGTGGTGGTTGGTTGTTGTTTGATGATATGAGATAGGTGTAGGGAAGTGAAAGGAGAAGTTGGTGGGATGGTGGGTTGGGGGTGATAGAGTTGATTTGGTGGGGGTTGGGGTAGGGGGGGGTGTGGTATGTTTTTGTTATTTTTTGATGGGTGTGTAGGGTGGTGTGTTATGTGATGGGAGGTGTTGGTTTAAGGGGGTTTATATTTGTTTATTTTGTGAGAGATTTATTATTATTATTTTTTTTTTGTTGGGGGGATGGGGAGTATTTTGAAGGAGGGGGGGGATTATTGTTATTGGTTTAGTAATGTATGTTGTGGTTTTTTTGTGAGGGGGAATGGAGGAGTTTTTTAATTTTGTGTTTAGAGGGTGTTATAATGTGGGATTGGTGAAATGTTTGTGGTTTGTGTTTTTGTTAGGTTATTATTTTTATAAGAATGTTTTGTTGTTGTGTGTGTGGTGTGGTTTGTTGTTGTATATGAGTGGTATTTTTTGATTTGGTTTAGGTATTTTGTTGAATTTGGGGGTAGTTGGTAGGAGGGTGGGGGAAAGGGGTTTTATTTGGAAGATTTGGATGAGTGAGGGGTTTATTTATTTTATTGAATTAAAGTGTCAAAAATGTAATATAATAGGGTGTGGTGGGTATAGATGTGGGGGGGGTTGGGATGTAGGGATATTGTGTGGGAGTATATTTGTTTATATGGAGTGTATGTTTGGTATTTTGTGTTTTGGTGAGTATGGTTGGGGTAGGGTAGATTGAGTAGGTGTGATATGGATGTTTTTGTATTAAATTTGAGGTATGGATGATGGTTTAAAGGGGGTTTTTATAAAGGTTTTTTATGTATTTTTTTGTGTGAGGTATGTTGTTAAAAGTTTTAGGTAGTAGTGGAATTAAAGTGGATGGGTATGTTGAAGTTGAGAATAAAATGTGTAAAGTAGTTGAAATGGAATGTGAATATGTATGTTAATATATGTGGAGGGGAATGTTTTTGTGTAAGATTTGAGAAGATAGTGGGATTAATAGTTGGGTAAAGGGTAGTTTTGGGGAGTGAGATAGGGGGATGGTGGGGGGTGGGATGGATTGTATGTTAGGTTTAAGATAAAGTGAAATGAAATAAAGTGGTTTTGATTTTGTTAATAAGAAGGTAAGTTAAGATTGGGTTTTGATGGTAGTGTGTTGTGATTGGATTGGGAAAGGTGGGGTGGTGGGGGGGTTATGTTATATGTTTGTTTGATGTGGGTGGGGAAAAGTAGTAGGGTGTGTTATGGGGGTGGGGTGTGTGTGTGGTAGATTGTGTATGGGGTGGAAGGTGGTGTGGGAATGTTGTAGGTTTGATTTGGTTGGAAGTGATTGGTGGTTAGAGAGATATTTATAGTAAAGAGGGTGTGGGGGGGTGGGGGTGTTGTGGGGTGTGTGTGTGTTGGTGGTGGAGGTTGGGGGGTTGGGATGTAAGGGGTGGGATATTGTATGGTGTTTTGGGGGGGGTGGGGTTTGTTTTGTGTTGGGGGGTTGGTTTTTTGGGAGGGGGTTATTGGGGTGGGTTAGGATAGTGGGTGTGGGTGTTGTGGGAAGTGAGGGAGTGTGTAGGGGGAGAGAGAAGTTAGGGTGTAGGTGGGTTGTTGTTAGAAGGTGGAATGTTTGTGGTTGTTTGGGTAAATGATGATTTGTATTTGAGGGGTGATGGGGTTTGGGTGGGGGGGTGTGGGATTTGTTTGTGGGGGGGTATATGGTGTTTTTGTGGTTATGGTTGGGGGTGTATTAGAATTTGAGGGATGGGGTATGTGGGAAGGTTGGTGATAGGGTGATATTGGATATTAATAGGTTTATATGAAGGTTTTTGGGAAGGAGGAAAAGGAAATGATGGGGGGGGGGGATGATATTATAAAAAAATTTGGAAGTTTTGGAAATTTATTGAAATAAGAAATTTATGAGAAAAAGAGAGTTTATAGTGAGTAGATAGAAGTAAGGAGTAGAAGTAAAGTGATATTATAATTAATTAGTTTTAGTGGTAATAGGGAATTGAGATAAGTAATGATGGTATATTTAATTAATGGTTGTTAGTTTTGAGATAGATGGGTGAAAATAGAGAGTGGGTATTAGAGTTAGGGAGAGAATAGGGGGGTAATGGATATAATGAATTTGGTTAAGTATAATAATTGGTAGAGATAAGGATGGAGAGAGGTGAATTTTAAAATGGTTGAAATGAGGGATGGTATTTAGAGGGTTTTTTAGGAGGGTATAAGGGGAATTATGATAAGTGATAGGTGGATGGATATAAGAGATTAGGGGTGGAGGGGGAAAATTTTTAATTAAGGTTTTTGATTATTGGTTTGTTTGGTTGTGGGGAATTAAGGGTTTTATGGGATTTGAAATTGGGGAGGATAGTATGTGGAGAGGGGAGTAGTTTAATGGGTGGAAGAGTATGTTAGAGGGGAGGATGGGGTGGGTTTATGGTTGGGGGGATATTGATAGGGAGAATAGTTGTTGGAGGATTGGATGTTTGTGTTTGGTAGGGAAGAATTAAAATTAGATTTAAATGTTAGTTATAAGTGGGAAAGGATTTTGGTAGGTAAGTTATGGTATGAGGAAGGATTAGGTATAGGGGGGTAGGGGAAAAGGTTATTATAAAAGATAATTAAGATATAGGAGAGGAGGGGAGTATGGGAGTGATTAGATAATAAAATTTGTGAGAAAAGATAGGGAGTTATGAATGAAGGAAGGAGAGAAGAGAGGGGAAATAGGGGGTGTAAGAGATGAATGGAAGTAGATTGTTGTGGTTGTTGGGAGAGAGTTGGTAGGGAGAGGATATAGTTGGTATGTGTGAGGTTAGATATGTGGAGTGGGGATTGGGTGAATAATTTAGAGGTTTATAAGTTGTTGTTGGGGTGGGTTGGGGGGATGGTTTAATAGTTTTAGGTGGGGGGAAGATGTGAGGAGTTTGGTGGTGTTAAGAATTGATTAGATGGAAGAAGAGTGTATGGGTAATTAAAGAAGATGAAATTTTGTGTAGAGTTTAGTTTAATGGTAGTTTGGTTGTGGTAAAGGTTTAGGTGGAATGTTTTTGAGTGATAAAAGGGAGTATTAATGTTATAAAAGATTGGATTTGAGTAGGGATAAGGTGTTTGAAGGGGGGGGTATTTGGTGGGGGGAGAGAGTGGTATGGTTGGTGAATTAGTATTGGATAGTTTTGATAAGGGGATTTAGGTTGGTGTGTGGAGTGGTGGGGATGATGATTGAGTGGGGGGGGGGTTTGTAATGAAAGGTGATGGGTTTGGTGATGGGTATGTTTGGGTTTGGTGATTTGGGTGTGAGTGTGGGGTTTGGGGGGGTGGTAATTGTTTTTATGGGTGGGTTGGGTGTGGTTGTTTTTGATGGGGGAGGGGTTGATTTTGGTGGGGGTGTTGTGGTTTGGATTTTAAATTGTTTTGGGTTTGGTGGTTTGGGAGAAGATTGTTGGTTTGGGGTGTGGGTGTTGGATGTTGTGGGATTTTGGTTTGTAGGGTTGTTGAGTGAAGGGTTGTATAGATGTATATAAGGAGTAAGGGTATATAGGTATGTAGATTTGAAAGTGGTTTTGTTTAATTTGAGAGGGTAGTTGTTGTTTGGTTTTTGGGGGGGTATTATTTTTTGTTATGGATGGTTTTTAGATTGAAGTATTGGGGAGTGTTGTTTGTTTTTGGTTTGGATTGTGTGAGGATGGATTGGTGAGTTGGTTTAGAGTATTGTTGGTTTTATATTTTTATTGGATGTTGGTTGGGGAGTTTTTATTTATATTGTTAGGATGTTATTGGTTGTTGTTGGGTGGGGGGGGTAATTGGATAGTTTGAGGTATTTGTGGTATTGGGGTGGGGGGTTGGGGGGGTGTTTGTTTATTTTGGTTGAGTTTGTTTTTTATTATTTTTTGGTTTGTGGGGGGGTTTTAGGTTAATTTTTTTGTTGATTTGTTTTTGATTGTGAAGAATTTTATGGTGGATATGTTGAGGGTATATGAGGGGGGGGGGTGATGGGTTTGGTAATTATGGTTTTTGTTTTGTAGATGGTATGGATTTTATGGTTGGGATTGTGGGTATGGTATGTGTTTTAGATAGATGGTGTTATATAGTTGGAATTTTTTGTATTAAGGAGTGAGGTGAGAAATGGGTTAGTTAAATGAAAGTTAATTATATTTTATTGAGAGAAGTATGAGAATATTAATTGGGAAATGAATGAGTAAGATATGAGTTTGAGAGTTTTTTGTTATTGGTAGAAGGGAGAATTTATAAGAAAGAGAAGGGGATGTTATTAGAGAATAGAGGGTTAAAATAAGAGGTGGGATAAAATTGGATAATGATTAAATTATTGGTTTGTTATTGATTTATTATGGGAGGGGGTTGGTTGTTAGTGTTATATTGAATGAGGTTAATTATGGTTAATTAGTTGAAGGGAGGGGTAGAAAAAGGGGGTGAGAAAGTGGGATGGGTGGGGTGGAGGGGTATGGATAACTAGATAGGGTAGGGGGTATAGTATTTGAGGTATTGAAGGATATTTATGTGAGGGAGATGAAGTTAGATGAGAGGGGGATGGGATTGTTTGGTAGGGTGTGTTGTAGAGATTGATTATTAGTATTTGTATATGGGAGTGATAGATATGTTAGGGGTTTAGTATGGAAGGGAAGATTAAGAAGGGGTTTGGAGTTAATAGAAGAGGGAGAAGGAGGAAGATTGTAGATGTTATTTATGTTGAATTAAGAGAGATAGAGGGAGTTAGTATTTATATTGGGGTGAGTAGTAGGAAGGGGGGATGATTTAATGGGGTTGGAGGTAAGGAGTGTATGTAAGGAGGTGGTAGGGGGGGGAAATATTTGAAGGTTTTTTTGGTGATTTAAAGGTTGATGTTGTTTAGTTTTGGGAATGTAGGGGAGGAGTATTGTTTGTGTATGGGATGTTAGTGAAGGGTGATGGTTTTGGAGTGGTTGAGATTTATAGGGTTTATGGTTTTGGTTGGGTTTTTAATGAAATGGGGTTTAGGGGTTTAATGAGAGGATTTAAGTAAAGTTTTGGAGGAGGAAATTAAGAGAAGTTATATTATAGGTAGTTAAGGGTTGAAAGTGAAGGATGTTTGTAAGTGGGGATTGTTTGGAAGGGGGAAAGGTAGATTTTGGATTTTGAAGGGTAGTTTTTTTAAGTATGAAATTTTTTATTAAATATGAATAAGGGATGTTTAGGGGGAGTTATTATGGATAAGAGTTAGTAGGGGATTAAAAAGGTTGAGGGGGGTGTGAGTATGATGGATGGGTATTTTTAAGGTATGATAGTTGGGGGTGTGAGAAGGTTGATTAGAGGGGAGGTGGGTTATAGGGGTAAGGGGGGTGGGTGGATGGTTTAATTGAATGGTAGGTTATATAATGGTTGTTTTATTGGTGGTGAAGGATAGGGAGAGTGAGAGGATATGATATAAGTTTTAGTAGATTTGTGGGATGTGGGAGGTTTGAAGGGGTTAGAAGGTTGGTTTGGGTTTTGATGGTGAGTGGTTGGTTGGGGGTGTGGGGGTAGGGGTAGTATTGTGTTTGGGTTTTGATTTTGGGGAGTGGGGAGGTATTGGTGTGAGGGGTGGGTGAAGGGGTAGGGTAGGGGTATAGTTAGGGGGGATGATGTTAGTTTTAGTGTTGATTTGTGGATGTATTATTATGATGAGTGTTGATGTTTTGTGTTGAAAGGTGTGATTTGGAGTGGGGTTGGGGATTTAGTGTTTTAGAATGGTTTGATTGAGTGTTTGAGTTGGGTGGTGTTAAGGGTGGTTAGTTTATATTTAGGATATGATGTGATAGGTGATGATAATGTTTTTATTTATAATTTTGATATTGGTTTATGATTGGGAGTTTTTGTTGTGGTGTGGTATGGTAGAGATAGTTTTGTTAGTGGTAGTTATGTAAATAGTGTTTTTTAGTGGTATGGTTTTGTTAGTGGGAGGGAGGGGTGGGGGGGGGGGGGGTGGTTTTTTTGGATAAAATAGAATGGGGAAGGGGGTTATGTTTTGTGGGAATGAGTTTTTGAGGGGAGATTGAAGGGATAAGAGGATTGAGAGATTAGGAGGTTTAAAGAATTAGTTGTTTATAATTAGTAGTAGGTTATTAAGTATGAATTGATTGGTTATTTGTATGATGTGTTTGTTTTAGTGGGGGAGTATATTTGGGTGGGGGTGGAGTAAATGGGGGGTTGTATTTTATTTTTAGTGTGGTGGTGGTTGGTGTTGGGTTAGATATGAAGTAGATGATTAATGGATGGGGGTTTGATTGTTGGTTTTTGGTTGAATTTGGGGTGTGAATTGTGGGGGTTTTGTTTTTTTGTATGGGATGAAGGGTTGTAGGGTGATAAAGGGATTGAATGGGGAGTTTTGTTAGTGGTTTTTGGAGTTGAGATGGGAGGTTGAAGTTGTGGGTTTTTGTTTAGTGTTGGGTTGGGGTTTTGGTTTGGTATTTTTTGGGAGGGAAGGTATTGTTTTAATTTTTGTTTGGTGTGTTGGGTGATGTAGAGGTGTAGTTATTTGTAGATAGGTGTTTGATTGGGGGGTTTAAGGTTATGGTTTTATGGGTTTTTTATTTTGGGTGTTTTGTAGATGTTGTGTTATGGTGTGGTTGTGTTGGGGGGATATATGTGTGGTGGTGGGTAGATATTGTTGGAGTGTATTATATAGGAGGGGGGTATGTGTTTAATGGTTATGGTAGGTGGTTTTGGTTGGTTGGATTTGTTGGTGGGTTGGGAAGGGTGGGTTTGTTGTTTTTGGGGTTAAAGGTTTGTTTTAGGGTGTATTATGAGTGTGGTTTTAGGGTTTTGATTTATTTTTTTTAATGGTTTTTGGATTTTGGTATATTTTTGGGTTATTTTTTTGTTGTATATGGGATGGTTTTGTTGTTTTGAAGGATGGGGTGAGTTGGATTTTTTTATGAGGGTTAATGGGTTTTGTATTGTTAGAAAGAAAATATGGGGGATTTGGGATTTTGTGTAGGGATTAGTTTAATGAAGAAATATGGGGGTAGATTGAGTTATATGGTATTGAAAGGAGTTGTTTAATAGGATTGTTTTATTATGATAGTTGGGGTGGATTGAAGGGTTTAGGTTTAGTTTTTGGGGTTTGTAGTGGAGGGGGAATATTTTTGATTTGTTTTTTATATATAGGTGATGTTGGTTGGGGGGATTTTATGTAGTTTGGGGGGTTGTTATGTTGGATGAGGGGTTTTTGGTTATATGGTTGGGAGTTGTGTGTTGGTTTGTTGGGTTGTTTTGTTTTGGTGGGTATGGGAGGGTATGGGTTTATTGGTTTGTTTGGGGGGGTGGGGGTGAGTGGTTTGGTGATGGGTTTGTGGGGTTTTTATTGTGGGGAGTTGGTGGTTGTTTTTTGTTGGGGTATGTGTATTAGAGTGGGGGGTGTTTTTTGTTTGTGGTGGGGGATGTTGGGTATTTTGTGGGAGTTGGTTAGTTGGTTTGGGTTTTTGTTGGGTTTGGGTGTTGTGGAGGGGTGTTGTTGTGGGTATGGGGGGTGATTTGGGGGTGGGTGTTTGTTTGGTATGTTGTTTGGTGTTTGTTTTTGTGATTTGGTTGTTGTTGTGTTTTTGTTGTGGTTTTGTTTGGGTGTTGTGGGTTGTTGTGAATTTGTGTAAGTTTTATGTTTTGGATTGTTATTGATTTTTGTTGGTGTGTTTTATTGTTTGTTAGAGTGTAGTTGTTGGTTTTTTTTTAGGTTGGGTATGTGTGATGGGTGATTGGTGGGGTAGGATTAGGTAGAGTTGTGGGTGTTTTATAGTATTTGTTTTTGTTGGGGGATGGGGTGTTTTGGGGGGGTTTTTGGGGTTGTTGGGGGTTTGGTGTGGGATGGGTTGTGGGGGTGGGTTTTTGGTATTTGTTGGGGTGTTGTGTTATGGGGTGGGTTTGTTTGGGTGTATTTTGATGGGGGTGGGGGGTGGTTTTTTTTTATGTTGGTTGGATTGTGGGTGTTTGTGTGTGATTTTGGATTTGTTTTTTTGGGTTTTGTTATGTTGGGTGTGTGATGTGTATGGGGTTTGGAGTGGAATGGTGGATTTGGTGTAGTTTTGTAGGAATGTAATTTTATATGTATGTTTTAGAGTAGTGTTGTAGTGTGTAAAGGATTTGGATGTGGTTTTATTTTGAGTGTTTTTTGGTTTTGGTGGTTGGGGATTTTTGTGTTGTTGTGGGGGGGGGTTTTGTGTGTGGGTGGGGGGTGGGGTTTGAGGGGGGTAAATTATTTTTAGTTTTAGTGTTTTTGATTGTTTTGGGTTAGGTTTATGATTTTGTTATGGGGGGGGGTTGGGTTGAGGTGATAGGGGAAGTTATATGATAAGTTGATATGGGTGTTGTGGGTAGGGGGGGGATTAATTTGAGTTTAGGGGGGGTGAGTTAGTGTTTTTGGAAGGGTTGGGTAGTGTGATGTGTGATAGTATGGTGTTTATATTGAATAGTGGTAAGTGGTTGAAGTATGTAGAAGGGTGAGGTTGTATTTTTTTTTTGGGATGTATTTTTGGTAAATTGAGAAGTGAGTGGAGATATTAGATTTTATGGTATGAGGTGGGAGAAGGATAGTGAATGATTGATGTTTGGATTTTGTTGGGAAGAATAGTTTGATTATTTTAATTTGATGGGGGGAGGGAAAATTTTATTTTTAGGATGGGGAAATGAGGATGAGAAGAGAAAGAGTGAAGGATTATTGGATTTTGGGTTGTAGTAATTAAGTTTGGGATGTAAATTTTATTGTATGATTATAGGGGGTAATGAGGTTTTATGGAATTTGGTTTTGTTGGAATGATTAGGGTTGAGGGAATATGGGAGAAGAAGTTAGTTATTGATGGTGTATGAGGAATTTATGGGAAGTTATAGATTATTAATTTTATATAGTTGAAGTATTTAATTTTTGGTGTAATGGGGTGAAAGAAAGATGAGAATAGAGAAGGAGATTTTTGTTGTGGGGTTTAAGAGAGGGGTATGAAGAGAAGGAAGATAATTTTTGGTGTATGGGATGTGTTAAAAAGTTCGTTATATTTGAAGAAGAGGGAAATTGGTTATTTTGGGTAGGGGAGGATTGATGATAGTTTGAGTTATTGTAGATAGGTTTTGGTTAGGTGTAGAAGGAGTGGGATTTGATTGGTTTTTGGGAGGGGTAGGATGTTTGAGTTTGGTAGTGAAGGGAGGTTTTGTGGATGGGTGGGGGGGGGTTTGGGTGGGGTTGGTTGGGGTTGGGGGTTGGAGGGGGGGGGGTGGGGGTGGGTTGTGGGTTTGTAGTGTAGTTTAGGAGGTAATTTAAGGTAGGGGATATGTAGTGATTAGTTGGTTGGGTATGTTAGTTTTTAAAGGGTGATGGAATATGTAATGGTAAAGGTAGTTTTATATTAGTGGGTTAGGATTTTTGGGGTGTTTTTTTGAGATTTTGGTGGATGTGGTGATGTGATGGGTATTGAGTAGGTGGATTGGGGGGTTGTGTTGTTTGGGGGGGGTGTTGGTGAGTTGTTTAATTTAAATTTGGGTGATATTAGTGATTTTTATTTATTGGTAATTTATTGAAGTTGTATTGATGATGTTAGTCGAGAGAAGGGTTAGGTGTTTATGATTATGGGGTGTTTATGTATGTGTTAATGGGGTTATGTTGAGTTTTGATATTTTTGGGGGATTGGTAGTGTTTTGTTTTTGTTGTTGGATTGGGGGGTTTTGGTGATAAGAGATTTTATTGGGTATGGGATATAAGGGGGGTAGGGGTTTTAGATGGTAGATGGATAGTTGTTTGGTTGTAGTAAGATGTAATGGTTAGGGTGGTGATTTGTTAGGGATTTATGTAGGATTTGTTTGGTTTTTTTGTTATGGTGGGGGAGGGGGGTTTAGTTTTGGGATTGTTTTTGGGGGGTGGGTTGTTTTTTGGGTTTAGGTGGGTGTGTGGGTGGGGTGGAGGGTTTGGTTGAGTGTAATATGATTTTGAGTATTTGGGGGTATTAGGGTTATGTAGGGTATGATATATATGGTTTTTTGTTTTTAGGTTATATTTATTATGGGGAGTTGTTTGGGGTGATGGTTGGTGTTTAATTGAGGTTATGGGTGGGTTTGTATGGTTTTTTTGGGTTTGTTGGGTAGGTAGGGGGGTTTTAGTGTTGGGGTGTGGGTGGTGTAAGGGTGTTTGTGGGTAGGGGGTTTGGTTTGTGTGTGTGGGTGGTGGTGTGGGGTTTGGTTTGGTTATGTGAGGGGTGGGTGGAGGGGGGGGGGGGGTGGGTGGTTGTTATGGGGGGGGTATGGGGGGGTTTGTGTTTTGTTGTGGGGGTGGGGGTGGTGTGGGGGGTGGGTTGTTGTGGTGTTTTGGGGGGTGTTAGTGTTTTGGGTGTTGGTGTGTGGTTTTTGGGTGTTTGGGGGGTGTTGTTTGGTGTGTGGGTTTTTTTTTTGGTGGGGTGATTTTTTTGTGTTTGATTGTGTTGTTTGTGTTTGGTTTGTTGGTTTTTAGGAGTGGGGTTAGAGAGTGGTGGATGTTTTTTTTTTTGAATATGGGTTAGGATTAGTTTATTGGTATGGTGTGGAGTGATGGGTATTGTTATTATGGTTTTATTAGTGTGTTTTTTATGGAGAATTTGGGGTAGTGGAAGTTTGGTTAGTGGATTTTTTTTGATGTAGAATATTGATGGAGGGTGATTTAGTAGATTGTTAGATATGATATTTTTTTGAGAGAGGTGTTGAATATATTGGAAAGATTTTGGGATGTTTTTATTAGTAATATTAGTGGAAATTGGATATGAATATGGGGAGGGTTTTTTGGGTGGATAGAGGGTGTTATTGATGTAGGTATTGGTTTTTGGAGGGTATATAATTGGAGATTATATGGGAATGTTTAGTGTGAAGTGAAGGAAGTAGGGAAGGTTGGGAAATGTTTGTATTTGTAAAAGTAGGAAAGAAGTGATGAGTAGTTGTAATGTGGGTTTTTAGATTTGTAGTTTTTATATATGGATTTATATGTTTAGGATAGAGGGATGGGGTATAATTATTGGAAAGAAGTGGTAATTGTGGTGAGGGTTGTAAGAGGGGAAGGAATATGAAAGTGATGTAGGAAGATTTTTTTATGAGGGTTAAGGGAAAAGTTAGAAGGGATTGGGATGGTTTAGGAATTGTTTTTATTGTAGGTGTTATTTAGGTGATGGTGTTTAAAATTATATTGAGAGATTTGGGGAGGGGATAGGAGGAGGATGAATTGGGGGGGTAGTTTTGGGAGGGGGGGGTTTTTTTGGGTTTTAAGGAGGTATTTATGATGTATTTAGGTGGTGTATTATAAAGATATTTGGATGGTAGAAGAGGTAAGGTTTATATTAATGAAGGGTAGGATGTTATTAAAGGGGGGTAGGGATTAGGAAGTTTTAATTATAGATATGGATTGGGGGTGGGAAAGAGAAGAGTGTTGTTTTTTTTATTTGATTAGGGAATTTTTGAGTGTATTAAGGTTAGAATGGATAGGGTAGGTATGGGTTGAATTTATGGAGATGAGGGTAGGAGTAGGTTTGGGATTAGGGTTTGTATGGGTGGGGGTTTGAAAATATTTGTGTGTTGGAGGTTTAGTAGAGGGGGGGGTTTGAGAGAGATTGAAGGTGAGTATGTGTGAAATAGATTTGGTTTATATATGTTTTTGTGAATAGGTTTAATATTTGTTTTTTATGGAGATTTAATATGGATAATTGGATGGGTTTGGGGGGATATGATGGGGGATAGTATAATATGTTGGTTTTATATAGAAAAAAGTGAAGGAAAGGAAAAGGATAAGTAAAGTAGTAAAAGTGTTTATTGAAAGGTTTGTAATAGAGATGTATGTATATGGGGAATGATTATGTAGTGAGTTTTAATATTTATTGAGAAGAGGGGATTTAGGGGGGTAGGAAATGTTGTATTGGAAGTTGAAGTTATTATATTTAATAGTAAGGAATTGGAGGTAAGAGGAAATTGATTATAATAAATATAAATTTTTAATTTTTTATAAGAAAGGGAGAATAATTATAAAAAATGTAAAATAATGTGAGATTTGGGATTAGATGGGATGTTTTTATGTATGGATTTAAGGTAAAGTTGGTATTTGGTGGGTATGATGGGTGAGGATGGGTTGAATATTTTTTTTTTAGTTTGTTATTTGGGGGGGGAAGTATTATTAAAGGATGTTATGGAAGGGAGGTGGGTTGGGATGGGGAGAAAAGGAGGAGTGGATAGAAGGTAGAAGGGGAAAAAAGTAATAGTTTTTTGAAGTTGTGGAATGGAAGGAAGTTAAGAGTAAAATAGAAATGAGAGGTGGTTGTATTTGGAAAATTTTGGTATTGGGTTTATAGAGGGGTAGATTGAGATGTTTTATGTGTTTGTTTTTAGTAGTAGGTATAGAGAAAAGTATATGAATGAGGAGGATGAGAGGAGAGAGAGAGAGTATTGGTTTGTTGGGAAGTTGGAGGGGGAGTGGGGGTATAAGTTGGATTGGGATTAGGATTTGTTATGGTTTATTGATGGGGTTGGTATGAATATGAGGGTGGGTGAAAATTAATGGGTGGGGGAATGGGGGTATGGGTATGGATTGGGTGGGGGGGGAGGTTAATGATTATTGTGGATATGGGTGGGAGTAGTTAAATTGTATGGGGGGGATGATGTTGTTGAGGTAGTAGTATGGTTATGATGTTAGGTGGTAGTAGGGGTGTTTAGATTATGTGGTATAGGAATGGTTGGTTATAGGAAATGGTATGAGGTGTATTGTGATTGTTGTGGGTAGGTTTGTATGTGGGAATTTGAATGTTTGTAGATGGGGGGAGATGGGGGGGTTTTGGGATTGGGGAATGATTTTGGTAGGGTTGGAAAGTTTTATATGTGGGGGAATGATAATTTAGATTGAATTTATTAGGGGGTGAAATATAGTTTTATTGGGGATTTTTATATGTTATGGGGTGTATTGTTATGGAATATTTTTTATGTTTATAGGAGGAAATTTTGTTAATAGGTAAGGGATAGGTTTTTTAAAAGGTGGGATGGTTTAGATTTTTTGTTGTGGTAAGTTGTGTTATGTGGATAGTTGTGGATGTGAAAAGGTATTGGAAGTGTTTGATAGTAAAATTAATGATTTATTATGTTATTTTGTGGGGGAGAATTGATAGTATTAAAAAGAGTTTTATAAGTATTAAATAAAAAGAGGTTTGAGAATTAAAGTAAGTGAGAGGGTAGTTTTAGTAATATTGGAGTTAAGTTGGGGGTATGGTGTTAGTGGTTGGATCGATGGAGTAGAAAGGTAGTATGGGGGGGGGGGGGGGAGTGTATATATATAAGTATATGTAGAAATATGAATATTTGGGGGGGGGTAAAAGAATATTAAAGATATAGGTTTTTAGATGGTATTTTAATTTGATTTTAGGGGGTATAAAGTGAAAAGTTATAAATATTGTAAAGTAAATTTTGATATTATGTAATAAAGAGAGATTTAGAAGGTAGAATATGAATTAGTTAAGTATTAAAGTTATAAGATAAGTATGGTAAAGAAGAAATGTAGAAGTTAGTGATTTATTTAAGTTGAGATGTTATTTTTAAATGTGGAAGTGATGAAAAGATTAATTAGATTTGTGAATAATAAGAAGTATATGAATTATTGTTTAATATTTTTTGGTATTAAATTTTAAATGATTTAGAAGTATGAAGGTTAAAAAGTGAGATAAATAAGAGGAAAAGTAGTGTAAATGAAATTTAATTATTAAATGAATTGTAGGTTGTATAGAAAGTGGGAGGAAATTATATATTTATAGGTGAATAATGAGTTTTTGATTGGGTGGTTAAAGTAGGATGGAGGTATATATGGGATGGAAGAAAAAGAAAGATTAAAGGGGTTTAAAGTTGAAGTGATAGAAGAGTAAGTTAATTGTTGGGTAAGGTTTTTTTAAGGGGGAATAGTAGATAATGAAAGAAAAAGAGAATTTTATGGTAGTTAAGGTGTTAATATATTTGAGAAAGAAAGAGGGTTTTAAATTAAATAGTTATAGTTTTATTAATAGGAAGAGAAAGAAGATAGGGATTTAGGGGAAATAGTTTATATGTTTATAATAGAGGTGAATTATAGATTGGAAGAGTTAAAGAGAAGAAAAAAAGATTTGTTAGGGATTATTAATTTGTGGGTTTAATGTTGAAAAGATTGGGAATATGTAAATGTGGGGAGTTATTTTATGGATTGTTAGGGGTATTAAGAATGGGGGATTTTTGGTATGGTTTTTTTTTGGAAAGTTTTTGGTTGGGTATTTTTTATGTTTGAGAAGTAATTTTATTTAGGGAGTTGTGATAGTTATAGTATATTAGTTGAGAAAGATTAAAATGTTTTAAATTGTAGGGATAAGTGTTTTAGAATTGAAATTAATGGGTATGTTGTTGTTTTGTTAGTTGATGTGATTGATTATAGATGTGGGGGGTGTTGTTTGGGGGTGATTTTGGGGGTTTTTTTGTTGGTTGATGGTGTGGTAAGTTGGTGTGTGGTTTTGATGTTTTATTAATTGTTATATGAGTTTAGATTGTGGTTGTGAGGATGTGGGGTGGTAGTAGTTAAGTATTTGGTTTTTATATTTTGTGTTTTTTGTTTTAGAGGGGTTTTTGGTGTGTTATGTGTTTTAAAAAATTAGTAGAATTGTTGTTGTTTTTTGTAGGGTTTATATAATATTTGTTTGTGTGAGGGGAAGTTATTGGGTATTGGTGTGGGGGGGTAGGTAGATTTTTTGGTTGAGTGGAGTGTGAAGTTTTTGTGGTGGGTTTGATTTGTGTTTTGTTGGTTTGGGTATGTTGATTTTGTGGTTAAGTTTTTTGGTTTGGTGAGTGTGTTGTTTATTGTTTTGTTTTGTTGTGTTGTATTGGGTTTTATTGTTTGTATTTTTTTTATGTGTATAATAAATTTGGATTTTTTGTAGTGGGTGATTGTTGTTTTTTATGGGTTGGGGGGTTTGTATAGGTTTTATTATGAGGTGTTTTTGAGTGGTTTGTTTTTATGTTTTTTTTGTTTTAGGTTTATTTGTGTGTGTGTGTGTGTGTTGTTGTGTATTTTTATGGTATTTGATTTTTTATGAAATGGGGGGGATTATATTGTTGTTGAATGAATGTTGGGTAGGAAGAAAAGGGGGAATAGATTGGTTGGGAATTTTTTTATGTTTTTTGAATATTTTTTGAGTTTTGTGTTGTTGTGGATGGGGTTTTGTGTGTTGGGGGTTTTGATATGGGGGGTTTAGTGTTTGTTGGGGGGGTGGGGAGTGGGTGTTTTGGTTGGTTTGTGTTTTGATTTGTTAGGTGAAGGGATGAGTAGGTTTTATAGGGGTATGGGTGTTGTTAGGGGATTAATGGGTGGGGATGGGGATAGTGGATGTATGATGTAGTTGGTGGTGGGTGAGATTGTTTTTATTGTTTGTATTTTTGTTAATGATTAAATTGGTGGTATAGGGTTTGAAGGAAGTATTAAAAGAAAGAAGTGTTTGTGGTTTGTGGGGTTGGTTTATTTTATAGATATGGATAGGTATTGTGGTTGTAAGGTTGTTTAGTTATGATTTGGATTTGGTATAGTTAGTGGTGTTGTGTTGTTTGGATGGGTATTGGAAGTAAGGGTTAATGATATGATGAGGGGGGTGGGGGGGTTTGGGGTTTTTGGATTTGTGAATGGATATAGGGGGGTGGAGTGGGGTTAGGGGAGGGTATTGGTGGTGTTTGTTTTTGGATTGTTAGAGGGGATGGGGAGGGGATGGGGTGTTGGGGGGGGGTGTTTTTTTGGGGGTATTGTGTGTGTGTTTTTTGTGTAATATGTGAAGGATATTAGTGGAATATTAAATTGGGTGGAGGGGGGGGGGTTAATTTTTTGGATTAATTTGGGTTGGATTTATTTGTGGGGGGGGGGTTTTTTTTTTGATTTTTTTAGTAGGGGGTTTGTTTGGGTGGGTGAGGGTGGTATGGGTTGGTTGGTGGGGGATGGGGGTGTGGGGGTGGTGGTTGTGGGGTGATGTGGAGTTTGTTGGGTAGGTAGTGGTATTGGGTAGGAATGGTGGGGGGGATGTGGGTGGGTGATAAGTTGGATTGGTGGGGGGTTGGGGTGAGGGGTGTGTTTGGTTGGTTTTGTGGTGTGTAGGAGGGTGTGTAGGGGTTGGGGTTTTGGTATGGGTGTTTTGTGTTTTTGGGGTTATATTTGTTTTATTTTGATAGAAGAGTTTATGATATTTTTTTTGTTTTTGGGGGGATGGGGGTGGGTATGTTGTGGAGGGGGGATTGTATTGGTATGGGTTATTGTAAGTTTTTGTGTTTTTGTGTTGAGGGGGATGGGAGGAGGTTGTGGTTATTTTGTTTTTAGGTTTTATAATGTTGGAGTGGTTGAATGTTTTGGTTTGTGTGGTTAGTTTATTATTTTTTATAAATTTTTGGGTTTGGTTTGTGTGTGTGGTGTGGTGGGTGTTTTGTTGTATATGAGTGGGATTTTTTGATTTTTTTATTATTGGTTTGATTTGGGGGTAGTGGTAGTGAGGGGTGGGGTGGGGGAAGGGGTTTATGTGGTATGTTTTGGAGGGAGGGGGGGGTGGGGAGGGTTTATTTATTATTGAATTAAAGAGGGTGGGTGGGTATTGTTTGGGGGGGGGGTGTAGGGTGTTGGGTTTAGGTTGGGAGTGATATTTTTTATATTGATTTTTATGTTTGTTTTTTTTGGTGAGATGGGGTGGGGGTAGGGTAGATTGTTTAGGTGTATATGGATTATTTGTATTAAATTGGAGGGTATGGATGATGGGTTTAAAGGGGTTTTATAAAGGTTTTGATATGTATTTTAGTGGTGGGTGAGAGGTGTGTAAAAGGTTGTAGGGTAGGTATGGAATGTAAATTGATGATGTTGAGTTGAGAATAAAAATGTGTGAAGTAGTTGAAAGGGGAATGGGATATTTGTAATAAGGTGGGGAGGGGAATGGTTTTTGTGGGTTAAGAATTGTAGAAGATAGGTGGGGGGAATTAGAGTGGGTAATTATTTTGGGAGTGAGATAGGGGATGGTGGGGGGGTGGGAGTGGATTGTATGTTAGGTTAAAGAAAAGTGATATGGAAATTTAAAGTGTTTTGGATTTTTTTAATGATGATGGTAAATTATTGTTTTGGATGTGTGGGGGGTGTGGGATTGGGAATGGATAAAGGTGGGGTGGTGGGGGGGGGGTATGGTTTATTTTTTTTTGATGGTGGGTGGGGGGATATGGAGGGGTAGGGGTGATGGGGGTGGGGGTGTGGTTTGGGGGTGTATTGGGGATGGGGGGGTGGGGTATGGGGGGGTGGTGGGGGGTGGGGGATGGGTTTGTTTTTGTTTGGGAATGTTAGGGGGTGAGAAGGGATTTTTTAGTTAAAAGGGTTGGGGGGGATGGGGGGGGTGGTGTGTGGTGTGTTTGTGGGGTGGTTTGGGGTTGGTGGTTGGGGTGGTTTGTGATGGTGTTTGGGGGGGGGTTGGGTGGGTTGGTTTGGTTGGGGGTTGGTTGTGTTTGGGGTGGGGGTGTGGTGGTTGTGTGATGGTTGGGGGTTGTGTGGGGGGTGTTGTGGGTGTTGTGGGGGTGAGTGATGTTTGGGTGGAGTGTTATTTGTTTGGTGGGTTTGTGGTTTGTGGTTGATGGTTTTTGTTGGTTTGTGAAGAGGGGTGTGGGGTTTTTTGGGTGGGGGGTAGGTGGGGATGGGGGTGGGGGGGTTTAGTGTTTTGGGGGTTGTGGGTTGGGGAGTAGATGAGGTGGTTGGGTTTGGGGGATTGGGGGGGTTTTTTGTGTTTGGTGGTTTGTGTGGAATGGTTTTGTGTTTTTTTGAAGGGTTGTTGGTTGGGAGTTTTGTGTTGTTAGTGTTTTATTATAAGAAAATTTGATTTTTGATTTATTTGAAATTAGAAGATGAGAGAAATAGATAGTTTGATAGGAGATAGAATAGAAAAAGTAGTAAAGGTAAAGTGATAGTTAAAATTATAGTGATTTTTGGGTAATTGGTGATATTGAGAGGAAGGGTTGATGGTATATTGTAGAGGGGTATTGTTGGTATTTTGGTGATGTATGGGGTGTTAAATAGAGAGTGGTTATTAAGTGTTAAAGGTGGTATGTTGTGGGGGTTATGGTTTTGGGAAATATAGGTTATATTTTATTGTTGTGGTATTGAGAGGGGTAAGGTGTTTAATTTTGTATTAGGTGGTAGTAGTGTTTTTAAGGGTTTTTGAGGAGTAAAGAGGAGTATAATATTAGTGAGAGGAGGATGGGAGTATTGAGATGATGGGGTTGTGGGGGGAATTGTTGGTAATTTAGGTGTTGGATAAATGGTTTGGTTGGTTGGTGGGGATATTATGGGGTTTTGTGATGATTGTGGGGTGGGTTTTGTTTGTGTTGGTTGTGTTGTGTATGGGGGTAGTTTTGTTTTGTGTGGTTGGGTGTTTGTGGTTTTGTTGGGGTTTTGGGTTGGAGGTTAGTTGGGGTTTGGTTGGGTAGGTTTGTTTTTTTTGTTGTATTTTTTTTATTTTTTGTGTTGTTGGGAGTTGTAGTTTAGGGTTGTGGTTGGATTTTGGTGATTGGGGGGGGAGATTATGTTGTTTTTTTATGGTTGTGTGTAGTGTGTGTGGATGGTTGGAGGTGTATGAGGTTTTTTTTTTTTAGGGTTTTGATTTGGTGGTGTGGGTTTGTAGTGTGTGGTTGTAGGTAGGGGATGTGGGTGGGGGTGGGGGGTTTGTGTGTGGTTGTGGGTGTGTGGTGTGGTGTGTTGGGTAGGGTGTGGTTATTGTGGTGTTGTGGTGTGAAGTGTGGTGGGGTGGGTGTTTTTGTGTGTGGGTGTGTTGTGAGTTGGGGTGGGGTGGTTTGGGTTTTTTTTTTTGGGGGGGTGTTTGTGGGGTGGGTTGGGGGGGGTTTGGGTTGTGGTGTGTGGTGTGTTTTTTTTGTGTGTGTTGATGTGGGTTTGGGTTGGATTGTTGGTGTTTGGGATTTGATTTGTGGTGGGTTTTGGGTTTTGTTGTGGTAAGTGGGGTTGTTGTGTTTTGGGTGTGGTATGGTTGTATATTTGTGTTTTTTATTTTGTGGGGATTGGTGTGGGGTGTTGGGGGGGTTTTGGGGTTGGGGTAGGGTATTGGGTGGGGTGTGTGTGTGGTATGGTTTGGTGGATATTTTGGAATGTTTTGTATAGGAGGTGTGGTTGGTGTGGTGGTGGGGGGGGGATGGGTTGTGTTGGGGGGGGTTTGTTTTTTGGGTGGGTTGGTGGGGGTGGTTGTTGGTTTGGTGTTTTTTGAGTGTTGTGGGTTGTGGGGGGGGTGGTTTGTGGTGGTGGGGGTGTGGTTGGGTTTGTTGTTTGTTGGGGGTTGGTGTTGTGGGTGGGTGGGGTGTTGGGGTGTTTTTTTGTGGGGGGGTGGGGGGGGGGTTTGGGTTTGGTGTGGGTTTGGGGGGGTGGGGGTTTGGGGGTGTTGGGGTGGGGTTGAGTGTTGGGTGTTTGGTTGTTTTTTGTAGGTGTTGGTTTTGGGTTGTTGTTTGGTTTTGGTTTTGTTGGTTTGTTGTGTGGTGGGTTTTTGGGGGTTGGGGGGGGGTAGGGTTGTTTGGGTGGTGGGTGGGGTAGTTTTTTGTTTGTTTGGGTGTTGTTGGTGGGGGGGTTGGTGGGTAGGTTTGGTTGGGGTGTGGTGGGGGTTGTGGTTGGGTGGGGTGTTTGGTGTTTGGTTTGGGGGTGGTTGGTGTTTTTTGGTTGGTTTTGTTTGGAGTTTTGGGGGTTGGGGGGGTGGGGGGTTTTGGGTTAGATGGTGTGTGTGGGGTGGGTTGTGGGGTTGGGTTGGGGGTGTGTGTTTTGGGGTGGTATTTGGGTTGGTTTGAATTTGTTGGGGGGTGGTGGGTTGGTTTTGTGTTTGGATGTTGTTTTTGGTTTGTGTTTTTTTTTTTTGGTAGTTATGTTGAGTTTTTTGTGGGGGGGGGGAGTGGGTAGGTTTTGGTGGTGAAGTTGTTGGTGGTAGGTGTATATGGTTGTTAGTTGGGGGTTTGTTAGTGTTTTGTTGTTGTGGTTGGTTTTATTTAAGATATTTTGAGGTGATGTTGGGATGTAGTTTGTAGATGTAGTGGTATTTTATGTTTATGGATAGTGGTGTGGAGTATAGAAGAATTAAAAGGGATAGAATGAGTAAGATTAGATTGAGAGGTTATTATTTTTATAAAGGGAGTATGAATTTTAAATTGTGAGGGGGGGGGGAGATGTTTTTAGAGAAGAGATTAGATATAGAGAGGTTAAATTTGGATTAGTATTTAATTTTTTTTTTATTTTGATGTTTGGGGTGGGGTTGGTGTTTTTTGGTGATGTGTTTTAGTTTTGTAGTTTGTGGTGAAGGAGGTGATTTTTGGGGAGGATTTGTGGGGGGTAGGGGTTGGGGGGAGGGTTTGGTTAATTATTAGGTTTTTAGTTATTAGTTTTTTGGTTTTTTTTTGAGTGATGATAGTATTGTGGTTGGGGGTGGGGGGTTGTTGGGGTGGGTGGAGGTTGTTATTATGTTATTTGTTTTTTATTTGGGGTGTGAAGTGGTTGTGATGTAGGTATGATATGAGATTAAGTAGGGGTTTGTGTATTATTGTGGTGTTGGTAGGTTTGATGTGTGTTTGATTTTTGTTTAAGTAAGTGTTTTGGTTGGGTGTTTGGTATGTTAGTATGGGGGTTTGGTTATAGGGGAGGGGGATGATGTGGGTAGATTGTTGGAAAGGTAAGGAGTGTATGTAAGGAGTTGGGGTAGGGGGGGGAAATATTTGATGTTTGGGTTATGGGGTGATTTTTAAGGTGTTAGATTGTTTAGTTAGGATGGTAGGGGGGGGGGGAGGGGATGATTTGTGTAGGAGTTAGTGAAGGGTAGATGGGTTTAGGAGTGGTTTGAGATTTATTGGTATAGGTTTGTGTGGGGTGTTTGTAAAGAAATGGGGGGTTAGTGTTTAATGATATGAGGGGGTTTAAGTAAGTTTTGGGATGATGGGGGGGGAAATTGAGAGAATTTAAAGTAATAGGAAGTAGGGAGAGGGGTTGAAGTGAAGGAAGTAGGGGTGGAAAGGGTGGGGATTGATTGTAAGGTGGGATAAGGGTAGATTTTGATATGGGAGGGAATAATATGAATTGAAAATAAAGTAATTGAAAGAAAGAGTAAGTTTAGAAGTATTAAAAAGGGGGATTATTATGGGATTAGGGAAGTTTTAAGGGTTTTGAAAAATAAGGGAATGAATTTTTAGAGTATGAAGTTAGTGAGGAAGGAAAGATAGAGGGAGGTGTATTGGGTATTAGGGAGGGTAGGATGTTTGGATTTTTAAAGGTATTTAAGAATGGGAGGTATTTTGGTTGAATGAGTAGGGAGAGTAGTGGGAGTTTGATAGGATAGTGTTGAGAAGGTGAGGGATGAGGTGTAAGTGAGGGTGAGATGGGAAGTTTTGGTGTGGTTTTAGATGGAGATGGGTTGGGTATGGGTTTGGTGGGGGTAGGGGGGTTAGTTTTGTATTTGTTGTGATTGAGGGGGGGAAGTGGGGAAGGTATAGGGAGGAGATGTGGTGGGGGTGAAGGAGTGGGAGGGGGATAAATGGGGATAGTAGAGTAGAGTTAGGTGTGGAATTTGTTGGAGGGTTAGAATAATGATTAGAGGATGTATTGGTGTGGAAAGGTGTTATTGTTTTTTGGGGTAGGGTGATATAGGTATGATGATTATGGTTGATTATTGATTGATTTGGGTGGGGGGGTTAAAGGGAGTATAGATTATATTTGGGGGAAGGATAGGATATATGATTTTTGATGATATGTTTTATTTATTTGTTTGATTTTGGTTGTATGGGATTAGTAGGTTGTGTTGGTGGGTGGTGTGGTAGGTTAATTTGTTGGGGTTTTGGTGGTAGTTATGGTAGAATAGTGTTTGGGTTAGTGGGAATGTTGTTGTTATGGAGGGTAGGGGAGGGGGGGGATGTTTTTGGATAAAGTAGAATGGGGGTAAGGGTTATGGGGAATTTGGGAATAGGTTTTAGGGGGAGGGATTGAAGGGATAGAGTATAGAGAAGGAGTGTAAAAAGAGGGGTTTGGGGTTTATAATATTGAGTGGAGGGGGGGTGATAGTAGATGAATTGATTGGGTTATTTGTAGATTGATGATGGTATGGGGGGAGTATATTTTGTTGGTGGAAAATGGGGGGGGGGATGTATTTAATTTTAAAGTGGTGGAGGGTAAGGTGTTTGGTAAGATATGGAATAGGTGGGATTAATGGAAGAGGGGGGTTTGAATGGTTGGGGTGGAGTTGTGTTGAGAATGGGTTTGTTAATGTGGGGTTTGTTTGTGTTTTTAAGGGGGAAGAAGTTTAGAAGGGGGAGGATAAAGATGAATTGGGGAGTTTTTGATTAAAGTATAGATAAGAGAGGATGATGTGAAGTGTGTTGGTTTTTGTATAGTGGATGGGGTTGTGGGGGTTTTTGGGGGGTTGTTGGTATTAAGGGGGAGAAGTATGTTTTATGTTTTTAGGTGAGGGGGTTGGGTATAATGGAGAAGATTTGAAGAAGAGGTGTAAGTTTAGTTTTTAAGGTTATTGGGTTAATGTGGGGATTTTTATATTGGGTGTATTGTATGATTTGTTAGTTGTGTTTTGTGTGGGTATGATTATGTTGGAGTTGGGTGATGATGATGAGAGATTATTATAGAGGGGGGGGGAGAGGTGTGTTATGTTTTGGTTTTGGGTTTAAGGTGTTGGGTTGGATTTGTTGGTGGGGGGTTGGTAGAGGATAGGGTTTTTTGTTAAGGTGTTAAAGTATTGTTTATGGTGTATAGATAATTGGTTTATGTTGATATATTTTTGTTTTATGGTTTTAGGGTGTTTGGTATATTGTTTTTGGGTTTTTTTTTTGTTTGGGGTATATGAGGTTTTGTTGTTTGAAGGATGGTGATATGATTTGTTATGATGGGTTAAGGGGGTTATGGTATGAGTTAAAAAAGTTAGGGGGGATGTTGGGGAATGGTGAGGTAGATTGTGTTTATTTTAGAAAATGGGGGGTATAGTAGATTATAGTAAGGAAGGAGTAGATTAATAGAGGTGGTATATTTATGTTTGGGAGGAGGATGTTTGGTTTAGTTTTATGGGTTTTGAGGTGGTGGGTTAGATGTTATGATTTAAGTGTTTTAGTGTGGTGTGTTGTAGGGTTGGTTTTGATGTTAGAGATGGGGGTGTTAGAAGGTTGGAAGGGGTAGTAAGGTTTTAAGGGATTGTGAGTAATTTATTTGATGGGGTAATTTTTATTTGAGATTGGTTTTTGGGGTGTTAGGGATTGGGTGGATTGGTTTTTTTGGGGTGGGGGGGTGGGTGGGGGGGTTGGGGTTGGTGTGGAATGTGGTGATTATATTTGGGAGTATGTGTTGGTGGTTTTTAGGTTGGTTTTTGTTATAAGTGGGGGGGAGGTTATTTTATGGGGGAGGGGGTGAGGGTAGTTTTTGGTGGGGGATGTATGTGAGTGAGGTGTATGTTATTTGATTATGTATGGGGTGAAGATGAGGTTAGTTGAGTGGGAGGAAGTTGGGGGGTTATAGGGGGGAGGGGGGGTTGGTGAGTAGTTATTATTGTGGTGGTTGTTTGGAAAATGAGGGGGTAAAAGGTTGAATATGTTAATATGTTGAGTTAATGAGTAATTGAGAATATTGGAGGAAGTGAAGAATTGTTATGTTATGTAAGTTAGGAATGGTTATAATTAAATGATTAGATTGGAGAGGAGGTTGTGATGTATGGATATGGTTTTGGAATATTTGAGTATGGTTAATTTTAGGGGGGGTAGGGTAAGATGATGGTTGAGTTGGAAGGGGGGTAGATATTGAGAGATGGAGGGGGGAGTTAAATTAGTTATGTGATTTTGGGTGGATGGGTTTTTGGATGTTGGGGGGTGAATTTGGGGATTGGGGAATTGTTGGGGGATTGGATGTTATGGTGGGGGTTGAAAATGTGAGAATTTGAGAGGGTATTTGGAGGTGTAGGGAGGGTGGGGAATGTTTTGGGGTAGGGTTTAGGGTTATGGGTAGTGGGGGGGTTGTTGTATTTTAGATGGATAGATTTTGGGTTTGAGAGAGATTATTATTATTAGTTGTTTTTTTTTGAATGAGTTTGGGAGGGTTGGGAAGGGAAGTATGGGGGTAAGGATAGTATATTTGTGTTATGGAGAGGAGATGTTATGGGAAGTGAAAGTTTTTATGATGATGTTGTAAAGAGAAGTTTTTTATGTGAGGGTGATAGATAGGATTTTGGTGAAGGAAAAGTTGATTGAGAATGGATGTTTTTGGAGGTTTTTTGGGAAAAATTATTAGGGAGTTGGGGGGTTATTGTTTGTTGGAGGGGTGGGGATGAGGTTTAAATTAATATTAGTGTAAGAGAGTGGGTTGGGGGTTATTTAATGGATATGATAGAGGATGTGTGGGAATATGGGGGGGGGATGGTTGAGTGTAAAGAGGGATAGGATAAATGTTGGAAGATGATTTAGTTTAGGGGGGGATAGGATATAGAGTGTAGGGGTGGGAGGTAAGGTGTGTTTGTAGAGTTGGTTTGGGAGAGATTGGTGGAAAGTATGGGTGTAATATGGATGAAGTAAGAGAAGTGGTTGAAGAGTATGGAAAGGGGGGGTGATGGTGTTTTTTTTTATTTGAAGTAATATTGGTAAGAAGTATATAGATGTGAGTGGAGATAGAAGTAGGAATTGTTTATGTATTAGTGGAGAAGGATGGGGTGAATTATTGATGTAGGTGATTTTGTTGGGGAAGAATATTTTGATTATTTAAGTTGATGGGAGGGAAAATGTTTATTTTTTAGATGGGGGGATTAGGATGAGAGAGATAAGTTGAAGATTATTGGGAATGTTGGGGTTTAGTAAGATTAAGTTTGGGATGTGAATATGTTTTGATTGTTATGATTATGGGGTAATGAGGTTTTATGGAATTTGTTTTGTGTGAATGATTAGTGGGTGGAGGGAATGGATGGGGGAGAATATAGTTAGTTAGATGGTAGAGGTATGAGGGAATTTATTTGGTTATGAGATGGTATAATTTGATATAGTTGAAGTATGTAATTTGTGTATGTTGGTGAAGGAAGATGAGAATATAGGAAGGATATTTTGTTGGGTTTTAATAGAGAAGGGGGTATTGAAGAGATTGGGAAAGGATTAATTGTATGGATGGTGGTATGGGGGGGAATGTTAAAAATAGAGTTATTTTTAGAAGAAGAGGAAATGTTTAATTTATGTGAAGGATTGAATGAATAGTTTGAGGTTAGTGAAATTGTTGGGGTGGTAGTGTTGTGGAGTGGAGTTGAATGGTGGGTAGGGAGGGATGGTGTGGATTAGTTTGGGTGAGAAGGAGTTGATAGAGGATGGGGGGGGGGGGGTTTGGAGGGTTGGGGGGGTGTGGGGGGTGGGGGTGGGGGTGGGGTTGGGGGGGTGGTGGGTGTTTTATAGTGTTTAGGTTGTATAGGATAGGGGGGGTTGTTATGGTGGAGTTAGTTGTTGGGTATTTTGTTTTAAGGTATGGTTTATGATAGTAGTAGGTATAGATTTTAGATTTGTTTGGGGATGTTTTTTGTGTTTATGTATATTGGTGGGGGGAGTGGTTTGTTGTGGAAGGGTATTAGTTGGGATTTCATGGTTGGTGGACATGTTTGGGGGGTTGATGTGTGGGTAGTTGATTGTTTTATTTGGGTGTTTTGTGTGTTGTTGTTTGGTTGTAGATTTTGTGATGTTGTAGGGTAAGTGGGGAGTAGTGTGGGAAGGGGTGTAGGATGTTTTAGTTTGGTGTTATGGAGTGTATATGGGGGTATGTTGTGTTTTGAGTTGTGGGGGGGGATTGGTGAGTGTTTGGTGTTTTTTTGGTGGTTGGTTTAGGGGGGGTTGGGTGTTTTATTTTTTTATAGGGTTTGTATATAGAGGGGGGGGTTTAGGGGGTTTTTAGATGTAGTAGGGAATTTGGTTGGTAGTGAGTAAATGATTTTAGTTAATGGTATGGGTTTTAGTTTTGAGGTAAGTTGTAGGTTGGGTTGGGTGTTGGTTTTAATGTTAATGTGGGGGGAGGGGGGGTGATTTTTTGGGGATTGTTTATGTGGGGTGTAATTTTTTTGGGAATTGGTGGGTGTGTGTGTGGGTTGATGTGGTAGGTGATGAGGGATATAAGATAAAATAAAAGAGGGGAATAAGGGGATTTGTGTTGGAAAGGTTATGATATGTTTGGTTTGTTATAGATATATTTTATGATGGGGATTGTTTGGGATAGGGGGGGTGTGTTGTTTGTGATTGAGAGATAGGTGGGTTTTATTTATTTTTGTTATTTGTGGTAGGGTGAGGGTTAGTGGTAGGGGGTTGGGGTGTGGTAGGTGTGTATTGGTTAGGGGTTTTAGTGTGAGGTTTTGTTGGGTTGGGGGATTTTGGTTTGTTATTATTTGGGGGGGGTGGAGGGGGGGGGTGGTGGGTTGGGTGGGTTGGTTTTGGGGGTTTTGTGGATATGTTTTTTGTGTTGGGTGGGGGGGGGGGGTGTGTGGGGGGGGTTGTTTGTTATTTTGGGGGGGTGTGAGAGGGGTTTGGTGTTGGGTGTGTGGGTTTGTGGGTTGTGTGGGGGTGGTTTGGTGTTGTGGTTTTTTTGTGGGGTTGTGGGGGTTTTTAGTGTGTGTATGATAGGGTTTGTTTGTATTTTTATTGTTTGTTATGTTGGTGGGTTAGAGAGTGGAGGAATGGTTTTTTGTTGGTGAAGGGTTATGTTTAGTGGTTTTTGGTTGGGTATGGGATTGATTGGGGTTATGTATTTTGGGGGGTTTTTGTGTGTGGGGTTTTGGGTGATGATTGTTGATTTTGTAGGTATTGGATGGGGGTGTGGGGTTTTATGTTGTGTAATGTGGGTGTTTGTTTGTTTTTGTTTTTGTAGTGTGTGTATAGATTTAAAGATGTTGGGAATTTTTATTATAGTATTATTATGGTGATGTTTGGAGTTTTTTATATGGGAGGGTTTATTGTGGGGAAGAGTTTTATGGAGGTATATGGGGGTTGGAGGTTTATGTTTGGAAATATATGGGTTTTTTTTGAAGGAAAAGGTAGGAATAAGGGAAATATTTAGAGGTAGGTAGAATAATGATAGTTAGTTTGTAAGTGGTTTATAGATTTGTATGTTTATTTGATATGGATTGTAGGTATGTTAGGGGATAGAGGGGATTAGGATTTATTGTTTGGGGGAAATAAGTGGGAATTGGTGAGGGTTGTAAGATTTTTGAAATGATGAGAAGATTTTGTTAGAGGATAATGGAAAATTAGGGTTGGGGTTTGGGTTGTTGAGGATTGTGTTATTTAGGTGTTATGTAGGTTGTTGGGGGGGTGGTTTTTTTATATAAGATGTTGGGGGATGGAGAGGAGAGGATGAATTGGGGGTAGGTGTGGGAGGGTTGGGTAAGGAGGGTTTTTTATGATGGTATTTAGGTGTTATTTTAAAGGGGATTTATGGTTGGTGGGGTATAGATGTAGTTTATATGTAATGTATTGATTTTATTTAGGGTAGGAGTTTAAGATGATTAATGAGAGATATGATTGGGGGGGTGATTAATGAGATGTGTGTGTGGTGTTTTATTGGTGGATTAGGGGAATTTTTGAGTGATTTAAGGTTTGTTAAGATAGGTAGGTTTGTGATGTTAAGGGAATTGTGGGTGTGGGTAGTTGTGGTATGAGGGTTTGGTTTGGTGGTGGGAATAATTTTGTTTTGTTAGGTGGGTTTTTGGGGGGGGGGGGGGTGGTGTTGTTTATGTGAGTATTGGTGGTATTTGGGTGGTTTTGATTATGTGTTGTTTAGTTTAGGTTATATGGTTGTTTAGATGTATTAGGTTTTGGGATGGTTTGGGGGGATTTGTTGGATGTTTAATAAGTGGTTGGTTGTTATATTTTTGAAAAGTGATGGTTATAGTATGGAGAGAGGTATATGAGGGTTTGAAATGATTTTGTGAAGAGGAGTGTAATAAGAGTAGTATTTATTTGATGATATAGAAATGTTGTTATTGTTTTGAGATATGGGGGGGGTATTTTGTAGAATTTGGTTTTTGGTTGTTTTTATTTTATTTTTTTTAGATAGGTTATTGGGTGGATTAGTTTGGAGATTATGGAAATGAGATTAGAATAGTAAATTTTTAATTTTTTTGAAATATGAGGGAAATAAGATATAAAAGGGAAAGATTAATGAGAAGAGTTTGGGATTTGATGGGTTGTGTTTATGTATTGGATATTAAGGGGGGGAAATTTATTGTGGGATTGATTGTGGATAGGAGTGGTTGAAGTTATTTTTTTATTTTTTTTGTGGGAATATTGAGGAATAAAATGGATATAAGGGAGGTTGTGGGATGGGGAGGAAAAAGAAGAGTGGAAGAAGTGAAGGTAAAAGTTAATAGTTGTTTGTGGAATTTGGAGATTGAAGGAGGGAAGTAGATAAATAAATGAGAGGGGGGTTGTGTATTTTAATTTTTGGTTTATTGGGGTGGATTAGGGGTTGAATTGAGATGTTTTAGTGTTTGTTTTTTAGGGTAGGTTGGTTTAGGTAATAGTTATATATGAGAGTGAAGATGAAAGAAGATTTGGTTTGTTTTGGATGGTTGAGAGTGGGGTTATAGAGTGGGGGAGTGGGGATTAGGAGTGTGTTTGGTTGATTGATGGGGTGTTATGAATTGTGGGTGGGTGGAATAATTAATGGGTGGGATGGGGGGTTGGTTTGGATGTGGGAGGGTTTATAGTATTGGGGTGAGTTAATGGGGGGAATTTTAATAGGGGGATGTTGTGTTAGGTTTGTAGGGGTATGGGGTTATATTTATGGGTGGTGTAGGTGGTTTTATTGGTGGATGTGGTATAGGAATGGGTTGGTATAATGGTGATGGTTATGTGATTTGTTGTGGGTTGTTTGTTGGTGGGATTGTATGTTGGTAGATGGGGAGGAAGGGGGTTTGGTTTGTGGATATGATGTTTGTGGTAGGGGGGGTGTTTTTTTAGTGTGGGGGTTTGTTGATTGGTTTTGTATTTATTGTTGGGGGGTGGTTATATTATTGGTTTTTTGGGGATTTTATTTGTTATTGGGTGTATGGTTATGGAATATTTTTTGTGATGTAGGAATATTTTGGATAAGAGGTAAGGGATTTTTTTTAATAAAGGTGGGGATTTTGGATTTTTGGTTGTGGGGTAAGTGGTGTTAGGTTGGAGGTATTGGTGGATTGAAAAGGTATAGGAAGTGTGTGATAGTAAATATGATATTAAATTGTGTGATTTTGTGGAGAATTGATAGTAGTAAAGAAGAGTGTGTTAAAGATTTTAAATAAGAATGAGGTTAGAGGGAATTAAAGGAATGGGGGTGTAGTAGTTTAGTAATAGTGGAGGTTAAAGTTGGATGGTGTTAATGGTTGGAGTAAGATGGAGTGAAGAAGTATAGGAGTGTTATATATTATAAAGTGTTATGGTAGAAAAATATAATATTTGTGGGTAAAAGAAGGAAGTATTTAAAGAATTATGGTTTTAGATTATGTTTAATTTGAATTAGGGTAGGGAAATGAGAAGAAATTTATAAAAATTGTTATAAGTAATTTTTGATATAAAGTGGAAATTAAAGAGAGATTGGTAGAAGTAGGGGGGGTAATGAATTAGTATTATAAAAGTTATTAGGGGGGGGATAAGTATTAAAGAGAAATTTAGAATGTATATGTATTTAAGTTAAGAGTGTATGGTTTAAATGTGATATTGATGAAAGATAATTATAGTTGTGAATAAAGGGGTAAGGAATATATGAATTATTTTTAATATTTTGTTTATTAAAATTTTAATATGTAGGAAGAATATAAAGTAAAAAGTGGAATAGAATAATGGGGGGGATAAAGTAGGTTGTTGTAAATAAATTGAGAATTATAAATGGAATTGGTTTTAGAAAAGAGGGAGGAAATTATATATTTATAGTGAATAATGAGGTTTTGTGGGATTTGTGGTTATAGTTATGGAAGTATATATAGGGAAGAAGAAAAGAGTTAAATGGGTTTAAAGTTGAGTGATAGAGAGTAAGTTAAGTTGTTGTAAGGTTTTTTTATTGGGGGGGGAATAGTAGAGTAATAAAAAAGATGAATTTTTTTATTTTAGTGGTTAATATATTGAAAAAAAGAGTATTAAATTAAATATTTGATGAGGTTTTATTATATAGGGTAAGAGGAAGATATAGGATTTGGGAAAAGTATTTAAAAGTTGTAATAGAGGAAAATATTGGATGAGAGTTTATTAGAGGAAGAAAAATTTATTTTTTAGGGGATATAATTTGGGGTGTTTAGAAGTTTAAAGGATTAATTTGTAAGATGTGTGTAATTATAAAATGTTTAGATAAAGAAAGGGGGATTTTGGGAAGGTTTTAAATGTGAAAAATTGATGGGGAAGGTGAAATTTTAAGTATTGATAAGTAAGTTGTAAGAATGAGGGTAATAGAGATAATTGAAAATAGAAAAAGTTGGAGAATATTTAAGAGGTGTTTATATGAGTATGGGGAAAAGAGATTAAGAAATTAATTTAAGAAATGTTTAGAGTGTTAGGAGTGTAGGATATGTAAAATAGAATGGGTGTGGGGGGGTGTTGTTTGGGTTGTTGGAGTGTATTGGTATATTGTTGGAAGAATTTGGGGGTGAAGTAAGGTGGGTTTAGATGATATATATTAGATGTTAAAGTAGGATAGATATATGTTTGGGTGAAAATGTATGGGGGGTGGAGTTGTTAAAATTGGGATAGTAAATATGAATGTTATTTTTTTTTTGGGTGTTAGGGAGTAGATTGGAGTTTAAGATAATAAATATAGATGAATTGTAGTGGGGTGGGGTTTGTTGGTTTTATTTTAAATTTGGGGTGTGTTGGAGTATGAGATGTTTATTGGGTATTGGTTAGGGGGTTGGTAGATGGGGTTGGTTGTGGATTGGATGTTGTTTGTTTTGGTTGTGTTTGTTTTAAAATGGTTTGGTGGTTGAGGTTTGTGGTTTTGTTTTTGTGGGGTTTTTTGGATTTATTTGTGTTGGTGTGTTGTTTTTTTTGTTGATTTTTGATTGGATTTTGATTTTTGGGGTTTTGTATGGTGATTGTGTTTTTTATGGGGTTGGGGGGTGTTATGATGGTTTTTTTGTGGTGTTTGGGGGGAGTGTTGTTTGTGGTTTTGGGTTTTAAGGGTATTATTTGTGTTGTGGGTTGGGTGTGTGTTGTTGTTTTTTTATGTAGGTTATTGGGTTTTGGTTAGGGGGTTTATATTGTTGTTGTTGAATTTGGGAGAGGAAAAGGGGATAGATGGGTTGGTTTTTGTGTTAGTTTGTTTGATATTGTTGGGGGTTGTTGTGTAGTTGTGGGATGTGTGTTTGATATTTTGGGGTGTGTGAATAAGATTTTGTTTGTTGTGGGGGGGGGTGAGGTTGGTTTATGAGTGTGAGTATTGTTTTTTGGTTTGGTGTGAGTGATTTTGAGGTAAAGTAGGGATTGGGTATTGTAATGATTAGGGTGGGGGGGGATGGGTGTGGGATGGGTGGAGGTAGTTGGTGGTGGTGATATTGTTTTATTGATGTATTTGTGTAATGTTGTATTTGGGGTGGTATGTTGGATTGGGGTTCTAATCCCAATATAGTCAAAATGATCAAATACTGCATTAA